ATATATATATATATATATATATATATATATATATACACATATATATCAAGATAATTTAACACTGTTATTTGCCATCCGGTCCAACTACGCATGCACGTGATGCTTTAATCGGATTTGAATTCCCAACAAATCCTCAGTGACCCAGTTAAGGCGTCTGCATAGACAGCAGAAGGTCCCAGGTTCGAATATATTATTATAAAATTATTTACAAATTATTGAAAATGAAGTCGACATTTTCGGTTGTACATTAAACTTACGCGTCGACAAAGCATTATGGTAGTCGTTCTTTCTCTTGGGCTTCTGTCTTTCGTTGGAATGCTCTGCCTATTACAATCCGACAGGCAACTTCCATTGATGATTTTAAGGCAGCTTTAAAAACTCACCTTTTTAACTTGTATTTTTCTTAATTTTTCTTAATTTTTTTTTCCCCCGAATTTTATTCGTTAAGCGCATTGAGGTTTTAGCATAATGCGCTATATAAGCCAAAATTATTATTATTAAAGTGTTTTGGTTTAGAATTGTGCCTATACCGTTATGGTTTTTAGTTTTGATCGCATGAACGAAACGTAACGTATAGGCATGTGCCTATCTTAACAATATTACGTTTTATTTTTAAAAAATATTATGAATGCATGATAACAATTTGTATTTATTAAATTTTATATTGTAACATTCCACAGATATCTTGTTCATATACAAATATGAAATACCGCAAATCGATGCCACCGCATATCTTTGCGGTTGCCGATAAGGCCTACAGCAGCATGAAGCGAACGCAGAGCCGACAGTGTTGCGTCATCAGCGGAGAATCTGGTGCCGGAAAAACTGAAAGTGCGAAATACATTATAGGACATATCATAAGTCACTGTAATAGCTGTAAACAGAACCTACAGGGAAAGATTCTCCAGGTAGGCCTATAATAGTTAAGATTATGATTGTTTGACGTTTCAATAATCATGTACACCATGAAAACGGTTGTCTTCTACTGTACTAGGCCTACTGCAGTACACTTGTTAGGTCAGTATTTTTCTTCATAACAGGTAAACCCTCTCCTCGAAGCATTCGGTAACGCTCAAACATCCATGAATGACAATTCCAGTCGATTTGGAAAATTTGTTGAACTAAAGTTCTCCGAAGATGGCCAGATTGTTGGAGGTAAGTTTAACAGATTTCCGAAGAATGTAGGCCTGTTGTGCAGGAATGAAATATTATACAAAGTAATCCACATTATTTCTACATTCTGGTATGGCTATACTAACTGGTGTGTTTCAATTGTCCTTTTACTGTTTGTGTTTTCATAAAGCATATTTGTGCTATAAGCAGAAATATTAATAGTACAGTACTATTAGGAATAAGAAGAATGATGACGATGATGATGATGATAATCATAACAATAATCATAATCATATTCAATAATAATGATGATAGCGAGTTTATGTGTATCTGCACATTAATATGCACAATAATTCATTGTCAATTTAGTTACTTATTCACTCTATAAAAATATTATTCATTGTTTAAGATACATTATTTATGAATTTTGATTTATGTCCATATTATGTAAGTATAGGCTTCACAGCATTACAATAGACTTTCACCATTTCCAAGTCACCGACTTGCCGTAGCTAGGATTTTCAAACAGTGTGGAACAATATCAGTGTGCACCTACTTTACGCATAAATTCAAAGAATGTTGACCCATTTTACACAAAATATGAGAAATCTGGACCATTTTTTAAAAACAGGACTCATTTTGTGCAAAAACAGCATAATTTAGACCCATTTTTGAAAATGTGGACCCATTCTCTGTGGTCCCAATAGAAATGTTGTGAGGGACTGTCCCAACTGTCCTAATGGCTGGCTACGGCATTGGTCACTAACCTCATTTACTGCATGCCATAGGACTAGAATACATTGCGGCGCTTCGATGGGGGTTATAATGTTGAGACGTTACGTAAATTTACATCTTGTGTTCACAGCTAAAATCGACCAATATTTATTAGAGAAATCACGTGTCATCCAGCAGTCCAATGGAGAGAAAAACTTCCATATTTTCTACTACATGTTCGCTGGGCTTACAGAGCAACAATTGGTAGGGTTCTTTTTAAGCCCACCTGAAGAGCACAGGTACGTCGAAAGGGTCAATAGCAAATCAATTGAATTTAATGGATATCACTTTCGTAACAGTGGCACACGTTTGACAATACCCAACGGTGCATCCAATATAAGGAGAATAAACTTAAACTAGAAGTAAATTAAACTAAAATGTATACCGTATACAATGTAAAACTTATCAATATGGCATGTGGGCTATGTGGTACTGTAGTCTCAAAGTAGGCCCTACCGTATTAATTACAGAGTTGCAGTCATAGGAAATATATTTCAACTCGGAAAAAATATATGAAAAATAAATAAAGTAAAATAAAAACTCTTTATTTATTTATAGCAACTTAATACAGAGCTAGAACTAATAGACCATATAGGTTCATATTTACTAACAAATTTAAAGTGAATACAAAAACTAAACAGAGGAGGAAAAACACTTGATCTCAAAATATTAATAATAATAATAACTATTAATTATCTCTGTTTTTCATTTTGTTATAGTTAAATCAATTTATTTTGAATTTACTTTTTGTATATATTTATGTTGTATTGTCATTGTATTTGTTTTTGATGATGGAGTAAGAGCAGTTTACTGTTTGCTTATGCCTATTACTTACTCCTGGCAAGAATATTGTATGTATACTTTTTACTTTGCCAAATAAATATTATTATTATTATAAACAGCGGTGCCACTGACCCCTGGACCGCCTTCTTTTCACCCATTCAGTAGTTCAAGAATTATAGACTTCCTTCATTTTATCTATTAAGATCATTTGATTTTAACACACATTTCAGCCATATCTATTATTTTATTTAGCCTATTAGCATCTTATATTTTAGATATGGAATGAAATTTTCCCCTGGTGACTGGATATAATCAATCACGCATATGCCTAATGAACCTTCCCGAAGTGTCAATCAAACTAAACAACTGACCAATCAGAAGAGGACCAGGAATGCGCACGTGTCTCACGAGTACACCTGTCCCACAAGCGCATGTGTTTGCGTGTGTTTTACCTGTTTGCCACCCCCATGAGGTTACACAGGCTCCGAGCAATGGTGGCTGTCGC